TATCATTCGTACTCGTGTTCGATCCATTCATTTTGTCATGCGTACCATTCATTTGGGCAAAGTAGATGCTTGGTCAATCCCAATTGATATGGGTCTTTATACGTTCGTTTTGTTATTTGCTCGCCTTGCTTAGAGTGCAGTCCGATAGCTAGTATGATAGTAACTGCAACAGCATCCACATTGTTAACACTGACAGCTGCAACCGGAGACAGAGACGGAGACGTAGCCGGACCCAGTGCTAGAGGCGGAGTCGGATTCAGACTTTGTCTCGTTATTGACGTTTTCGTTGTGCGAGTGCCCCAGTAAGTAGTGTGCCTTTTGTTGTGGCTCATTCAGTTGCATACAGAGCAGCGTTCCAGCAGTGTCAACGTCACACTCACTGCAGCTTTGTCGCTCTTGTCGCTCTTGTCGCTGTTGCATTCTTCAACGTTTTCCTTGCTTAACGTCATGTGCACCATACCAGTAGCCGTTTGTATTGAAAAATTATCACGCGCGAATGCCAGACAAGACCTACTTTTATATACTGTCAAAATACTTCTGCATCTCTCATGACACCCAACAAGCAATTAATGAAGCCGACTCTCTGCATACGAATCGGATTATTTTGAGTTATATTATACAAAATAATATTTCAATTAATATTTGTTAATAATAATAATAATGATGGTTATTGAGTATTGGCAAATATGTCGTGACAGGTTGATTATTTCAATAATAATCTAATTGACGCAAAGCCGTTTTTAAGAAAAATGTTTTGTAAATTGCTATACTTTCCACATCTGTAGCTGAATAGTTTATTGTTTGCGTTTTCGCAAATTGGAGACGACTGCTTAGAAAATGAAAACGAAAAGCTTTTCCGAGATTAAAACTTAAATAAATATATAGAATAACATTTTTAAACTCGTATTTATTCGAACTATGCCATGGATTGTCCTCATTTAATGAACAGCTCGCAAATTTGCTTGCTGGGTTATCCTTATTAAGTCGAGCTTTTGCCCGAGCGTCTACTGCAGTCTGCGGCTACTTGTTGTCTTTGTGGGCATGTATCCTTTGTCCTTATTGCCATTGTTTAATGGTCACATTAAAAATGCTTCATTGTTGGCGTTGTCGTTGTCGTTGTAGTTGTAGTTGCTGGCTGTCGCTGTCGTTGGTTTTGTCGCTGCAGTATTTTTTTGACCACACCCTTGCGCCATATTCTCTATCGCATTTATTTACAATATCTCAGACGGCGACGTCGTTTTCTGGTGCGCTTATGTTGACTTCTGCTCACTCACAGTGCACTCTTACTTTGAGAATGCTTGTGTCTCGTGGGGTATTTAAATATGTACATTTGGGTGTATTAGCGGGTGTACCAGCACTAGGTACAGTGGGCATTCACCAGGAAAGTCAGCCACACCCAAACCAGCTAAGCATGTAAATGGAACAGCTTTCTTTGTACATATGTATTATGACAACATGACAATAAACAGCCAAATTGTTTTATTATGCTGGACGCTTATAGGTTTTCGTCATATTTAAATAAGTAATAGACTTGTTTTACTCGATGATTGCAATGTCTGCGAATCACGCACATTCCGGAAATAACATTAAAATAATACATTAACTTCACCAAACGTTGCTTCGCCCACGCGATTGTAAGTACGGAAAATATAATTAATAATATAAAAACGCTTGAATAATAGCTAACAGAGAGAGCTGGACAATGAGAATGAGAGTGAGAGTGAGAGAGGAGTGCGTGTGGAGTAGAAAATTTGGGAACTGCCCAAGCAGGCGATATTTATACTCTATTATACCATAAATCATATATACGCTATTGTACCTAAAGCAAATATTCACAATCATTTGGCCTAATTGTGCGGCGAGAAATACTCACATAAAAATTTGCTGTGAATCAGTTCTGGTCGAATAGCGTGACACAAACAAAAATTGGACAAGTAAAGTAGAGGGACTGCACTCTGAGACTACCCCAGGCAGTTGCATGTAACTGGAAAGTACGCAATTTCAAGCGACCGCATGACTTTGTGAAAGAACTTGTCGCCGCTGACGTCTCCCACAACGCCCGACGACAAATCCACTACACGAGTATTACACCAAAAAGAAGCAAAAAAATGGTCAAAATATATAGCACGATAACCTAAGAACTATTTAACATTGTTACCAGTATTTCTGAACTTAAAGTTTTTACAATTATGTAATTATATTTTACACAATACCACAACCCATTTATTTGGCAATATAAAAATATTTGAATTTTATGGCAAAACTCATTTTTTGAATACAGATTATTTTGCCAAAAACAAACCAACAATTAGTTACTGTTATAACCATAGAAAATAAAATTAAACTTAAAATTTATTTTATCTTCTTTTCTGAAAACAACCTATTTTGTCAATAATAAAACTGTTATGAAAACAAGTTATTTTTATAACATCAGACCGTAGTCAAAGAAATGTGTTACAGCATAAGGCATACAAACTTGAAACTTGATTTTAAATGTTGCATATTTATGGGCAATACATGAATAAACTAAACCTGCATTTGGCTTGATGGTTATTACCCAGCGTTCATTCTGTCTACTGTGTATTTTAATTGGAATATTTATGATTGCATAAGACGAGCACATGCGAATCTACAAATATCTGAGAGAAAATATTCATATTTTTCATTTACAAAAAAATATTTTTGTGTACAATTTGGACTCCAGATATTTGTTTCCTATCAGTAAAAGATGGATAATCTTTAGTCGCAGCCTAGTCGCAAATTCGAAGTTATTGTGGTAAGCAAATAGTGTGCTTTGTCATTTCGAGGTTGAACCACAGTGCGTTTGAGCCATTAAGTAACAAGTGCTAACTTTTGCGATACACCAAACTGAACTCGTGCACTCTGCTCGTAATGTCGCCGAGAAAGCAAAGAAAAAGAACTCCCGCTAGTTTGTACTGCTGAGTTTATTGAGCAGGAGTGCAAGGAAAGGTGGCTTGGCCAGGGGAGGGGAAGTCCCATGGCAAAACGGTTTAGAGAACGTGGCAAATGGAATGGCACAGTGGTTGGTGTTGGTCCTGTTGACTTCTAAGCAGGCCACTATTCAGCGTTGGGGAGGGGGCTACTAAAGCAATGCCGAAGAAGTCGCGTGGCAGCATTAGCCCATAAGTCAGGCACTTGCACCAAAACTAAAACACAACAACAACAACAGCAACAACAATAGCAACAAAACGTAATTCAATGCCCGCGAGTTCGACGTCGACGACGACGCCACGAGAAGCCCGAGTCGCTCTCTATGAAAATTGGCTCCGTGGACGACTTTAGAGTGGACAGGCACATGAAACACAATTCAAAAACACTTTGACCGGCAAAGTTGCCAGACGGAATTTCTTCTGCATTGTGCACAAATACGGTCAAATACGTTGCCAAAAAGGAAGCCCGGCTCAAAAAGTTGCACACACTTTGCTCTGCCAACTTTCTTGTGAGATATTTTAATAAACTTTTCTTCGAGTTCATTAAATTCGATTCAAGTAAATGTGTGTGAATGTGTGTGGGTGTATTGTGTGTGAGTGTGAGTGAGTGCGTGTCCACACTCAGCTTTTCCCCAAAATAGGTCGAGACAATTGCGACTGATTGATAGGCAATTAGTGCAAGTGTAACTCTACGGAAGCTGCGAAAGCTGTTGAAAAAGCAACAACTGTTTGCGCATTAATAATCAACATCCCGGTGGCCGCCGGCCTGCAACCGAAGTGTCATTAACCTAATTGGCGCAAATAAAAAAAGAATCACGTGCAAAGGACGACGGGCGACCCCAAACCATAAATAAAACAAGCATGGTAGCGGAGAAATGCAACGTGTTGCAATAAAAACAATTTACATAAAGCAGGTAAGCAAAAGCTAAAAGAATAAAATAAAAATAACAGAAAAAATACAACAAAAAAAATGTGAACATATTTGCTGACTGCTTCAACCCCAGCAACAAAAAGTTTCTCACTGAAATTGTTCGCAATGGTAAATTCCAATGCAGTTGAAATAGTTGCATACGAATGGAGAAATACGGAGAAATCTCACGTCACTTGAAGCACTTTAATCCCTGTAGCCCGTAGAAATTGGACATCAGGCAACGCCTTACTGTCAGCTCCATATGCACATATTCATATATATATATTTATATATATATATATATATGCATATATAGCTAGTTGTATGTGGCAAGAAAGGTCTGCAGAGACCGTTTGCAAACTGGCCAACTGTAATTTCGGTCAAAGTAGAGTGGAGTAGCCACTCCTGGAGTTTTTGCAGCTCCAGTTAGTTCGCTCCAGGCCTTGCTTTAAGTGTGAGGTTGAATGGCCATAAGCCAAAACTATGTTGCCCATGCTGCAGGCGGCAAAGGAGTGTGTGACGCTCACTCGCAAAAGTGGACGAGTGGTCTCCTTACACTGTTTTACTGTTTGCTGACAAAGGAACTGTGAAGTTGTTGGTCCGACAGTTGCTGAGTTGCGTCTGAAGTGGATCTCAAGCGGAATCGTTAGTGGACACGACATGCTCTCATTGAGTTGCCCTAACATAACCATAATGGCAAACTTCCAAACTTCGTCAGAGGTTAACCCAACTGCTACAAAGTGCAAATGCTGTGACTGTTTAAAATAAAGTCATGCAATAAAATTAATAGAAAACATAGCTTGGCAATGAACGAAACCTATATATGCAATAAATCCTAATAATATATTCTTTTCATATTTTAGGATGATCAAATGATAGAGTAAGGGCGCAATAACATGAAAATAAAAGTTGCAACCAGAGAACCTAACCGCACACGACACTCAAGTCGACTACTGGCAATTCAAAATCCCGTCCGTACGTGAAGAACAACATCGTGCAACGTTTGGAGTCGACGCAACATCGACATCGACATCGCAACTGGCCCACGCGACTAGCGACTTTTTGACCACAACAAATCAGTCACGCAAGGCAACGGCACGCCGAGATTGCTGCCACAGCCAAGGAGCCATTGAAAAGGGGTTGCTTGTTAGCTAGGCTAGTAGCTCTTGAGTCCCTTAAGAGAGTCTCTCACAATAGGGACAATGTCCAACGAAGAGAACGACTACTTGGATGGACTGGGCGCTGTTGCTGGCACTACTACTGCTGCTGGCAATGGTAATGGAAATGGAAATGGTGTTGGTGATGGTGATGACGACGGTGGCCTCGCAGCTGTTAATAGCGAGCCCATTCTCGGTGGCCAAACAATGGCACAAATTAGTTCGAACTCACAAGTCGAAGGAAACGTTTCGCCGACTGGCCATCTGGATGATAACGATAACCAAATAAATCATAATAATACAGCTAGCAACAGCCACAACTTTGATAGCAATCGCAACAGTCCCACAAAGAGTCCAACATCACGACGCGCCGGCAGCTCCACAAGCTTTCAGATCCAGCATCACAATGCACATAACTATGACGATGATGATGATGACCTAGCAACCGGCGACTTGCAGGCTAATAACACTGCAGCTGCAGCAGCTGTTGCTGCGGCTGTTGGTGGCGGAATAGGACGTGCCTCCGGCGGTGGCATACCAGATTATTGGCAACAGCGCAACGGGGCAGCTGGGTCAATTAGTGGTGGTGCTGGTGCACAGAGCGGCCATCAGAGTCGTGCACTTAGTCCCAGCTATTTGGATAACATGAGCGAGAATTCGGAGCAACCGCCTGTTGTGCCACTTACACGTTCCAAATCGCGTCCAGAAATATCCAGTGCTGCTGCCTCTCGTTACTCGAATCTCTCATACTGGAAGGCACGACGTGTTGTCTTCTATCGCAATGGCGATCCATTCTTTCCGGGCGTGGAGCTACGCTATCGGCCAGGTCGAGATGTTACCTCGCTGGACAATCTGCTGGACAAGATCTCACCAAAAATGGATCTGCCGCGCGGTGCGCGATATGTGTTCTCCATGGATGGTGATCGTAAATATCATCTGGATGAACTGGAGGATGGCGCATTCTATGTGGTCTCCTCATTCAAGGCCTTCAAGGTAAAGAATTGTATCCACAATTTGCATTTACTCCGCGTGTTTGCTTTAGTTTTTTTTTTAAGTCATTTTTATTATTATTTTTTTGTTTTCACCTCGTTGCATTTTGAAGTTTAAGTGTTGCTTTTCACGTCAACTTTACTGCAAAATCAATAGAAATTTGAATATTTTGGTATAATTTTGCATACATATGCAAAGTGATATATGTGTGTGTGTGTGTGTGTGTACCTATTGACATACTACATATATATATTTGCCAACTCATATAAAAACTATATACGGCGTTGGGCTTTTGCGGTCAGCGTCCCACACCACTGAACCACACCACAACTCCAGTCATAGCCACCAACTCAAGTCACTTGGCCTAAAAACCCAAGAAGTTCTCAGTATTGTATTTTTTGTTTGTTGCTCCATTTTTGTAACTGTTTTCTTGCTATTTTTTTTTTTTTGTTGAGTTGAGTTGAGACACATTTTTGCATGCGAGCACTTTCGCTTTCTCTCGCCATGCTCTCAGTTGTAAGGACTTTTATACGAATACGGCGGAATGGTTCACGTACATGTGGGAGTGTGTACATGTGTGTGTGTGTGTGTGTGTGTGTGTGTGTGTGGCACGTGAAATCAGGTACCGTTCTCTTACTTATGTTCTTACGCTGTTCAGCGATTTGTCCGACATTCGTGGGAGTTTAGCTTTCATACACCATACACGGAAAATAATTTTGAGATAGGTTTGAGTTTGTGTTTTCCTAGCAGAGAGGGTGACTTTGAAATTAGGTCTTGCGTTTTATGAACCTTTATGTGGGCCTTAAGAGAGCGGCTATTTCAAAAGAGAAATAGAAGAGTGAGTCTAGATTCTAGACTCCATAATAATATTTGCTATAGCAATTGCTTTTATTCAGCTACTCTGGCAGACGGCAAGAAACGTTTGTGCTACACTTATAGAAAATATACATGCCACATGAAGGAAAAGTTTGCTTAAGGGTGATGAAATTTAAATACCATTTTTAATAGTTACATAGTATGGGAGAACAGATTCATATCAGTTTGGATCAAATTCTTGCGAAATTGCACTTTTTCATCGACTGTTTTGATTACAATAAATAATTTTCTATTGGAAACGCAAACCACAATGTCCAGTTAGAATATCGATAGAAAAAATTCTCCAATATTTAAACATCTCCAAGTTATGCCTTATTAGTAATCCAACCCTGTGTTGTTTTGTGGAAAGCCCCGTTTACACGTTGCTGAAACAATAAATCTCCGTAGCCAGAAGAAATGAATGGAAACGAGAAAGATTTTGCATTGTGCATTTTGATTAGGATGAAACACAAATTGAAATTTGAGAAATCATTGGACTCCACTTCCACCAAGTCCCACTGCCGCGATTGAACAAGTTTTTGGCATCCCCTTTGGTAAAGACAGAGCAAAGCTGTGCCATTGGGAACTCATGCATCTATAATCGATAGCAACAATAGCTAAGCCAACAGAGGGCTGGATTCTATTCAATATCTTAACTGTGGAACTGTGGGCTCCTAATGCACTCAGTTTGAGAAAATGCGCTTCAGAACTCACAACTCAAAGGCGGAGATGGCGTAGACAAAGCGCCCGGTTAAAAGCCCAACCAAAGCTCACCTACTAGAACATTACCTGCCCCCTGCTACACGTCCAGTTGCATGTGGCTGCTGCTGCTACGGAGGCAGCCGCATGCATTGCTCGTGGCTGGTAAACAAAAGCGCAGCAAGAGCCTTTCACTCTCTGCTATAAAATCAAAACTTATGTGGCAGGCGTTGCTCGGGTCGCCAGAGGCACTGTTGACGCTGGCGGTAGCTGCGTGCCACATGGGCGCACAAAAGGCAACAATGAACAATACCAGAGCATGGAGCTTGGAGCACGGAGCGCGGAGCACAAAGCACTAACCATGCCCTGCAGATGGCTTGAGTGCAACGCATGCAGTATAGGCCAGTGTAGCTTCTCTCCGGGCGTTCTCTTGCGCGTAAAGCGTCCAATTTCGAAACTTGCGGCGTTGCACTTAGGGAAATTAAAACTATATGCATGAGTGCGACATGCAAAGAGAGACAGACAGAGATAGAGGGAGTGTGTGGGAGAGAGAGAGAGCACCAACTCTTGGGTTTTGTAAGAGGCGTCAACTGCAGGTGCAGGGTAATAATATAAATTAATCGAGCAGCATATTTGATTCAACAGGGGTCGCACACTCGTTGCACGCAACTGCCAGCCAAGCTTGAAGCCCTAAAACTCCTTTGAGCAAAACATTTATGATAATTTATTCGTCATGTGGTGTGCGTGACCAGCTGGACGACGGATGGACGGACGGGCGCTCTTCTGCCGTCGCGATTTTGGGTGCAGCAAATTGCATTTCCCTTGTTAAGTCATAAATATAATTGGCCATATGCAAAACCATGGCCAACAAGGTCAATTCGCCAGTGGGTGGACCAAGCACACAAGGTTGAATCGAGTGAATTAGGCTATATTCAATATGGTAATTACTACACAGAGCAAAAGCAAATGCGAATCTTGACTCAAGTAAATATTAGATTACAAACTTGGATTTTCAATCTTAAATCAAGGATGTTTGTAAATGAGAAATAAGATCATATTTGTGTTAAGATCTTTTATTACAGATTAAACTAATTTAATTTTGTAGCAGGGCACTAGTGACGTATTACTAAGACTGTAAGATAACATCTGTAATATAACATGCAACTATGTACATAACTTGATATCGTTATCAATCGATAACAACGGTGTGATCACCGGCTTGAAGAGGAAGACCGATTTGACACCATGATCTTAATTTTGTACGCTATGTACTTTTACCGATAATGAATTTGCCGTTGAGTTCGAAATTTTGGAAATTTCGATATATTTTGCTTAGTGTAAATGTCAGTGTACAGCTTAGATAGCAGATTGAATAAGTACAACAGCTAAATCGTACAATGTGCAAATATTTTGACATACTACTTCAACACATCAGGCAATTAGATAAACATTAACGCAATACAGGTGCAGCCAATGATCGCTTGTGTTAAATTACGGCAATTCTAGATGGTGTATGGAATATATGGATATATGTGCATGTGTGGTGTGTGTGTGTGCATGTGAGTAAATGCAAGGTGTGCTGCTGCTGCACCCTAAATAAGAAACCAAAATGGACACGCAGGACTCGTGGCCAGTTTTCTATTTTTCTTGCATTTTTTTTGGGGCCAGCCCCAAAAGAAATTAAGATTTTTTGGCACAAAACGTGCGCGACATGCTAAAGGCGAAACCTCTGCACCGCAAATGCAGCACGCAAGGTCAGAAGTTGAGGCAGCAGTCCAGGCACCAGTCGCATTGTAATTAACTGCAAACAAAGCGCGCACGAGTGAAAGGAGCACGAGCGGACCAGATTTGACGTCAATTAATATTTTTTTTTTCATGTTGTGGCCAAAACAAAAGCCACTAAATTATGGCCATCAAGCTGCAGTGACACATGAGCGAGATTTTCAAACCGAAAACAGCCCAACCCTGCCACAATTACACCCCACCCCACTGCAGCCCGGGCTGGCAAGCACCGCAAGGCGATTTGATGAATTTCGCTGCCATTTACGTGATGCATGCACCAGAATTGCGCTTTTGCGTGTTGCCGCAACGACAGTCTCATCTCTAGCCAGCTCTCAATCTGGTGTTTGCCATTGTTATGACTGTGATATGATGGTCTTTGTAATGAATCGTTGAGGCTGGCTGGCCAGATAGCTCTTGGATTTCATGGATTTGTGGCTGCGTCAACATGCCATCGTTGCATGCTTAGTGTAAGCTGATTTAATCAACAATTGTTGCATAGCACACAGAAACAAACAGTATTTTTGGCTCTTACTCTTTAATTTATCGTAGATTGTTAGCGTTACTCCTTTGAGCCAAGGTAGTAAGCAATAAATTTTTGTGCAAAAACTGCAGATGCTACACCTAATTGGCAACAGAGAAATTCTGCCAAATAGCTGGCAAAATCACAAATCAAAGCAAATACTTGAGTACACAGACAGCTCTATGTACATACGTATGTATGTGGATAAGTGTGTAAGCCTTTAAGTTTGTGCGTGCGAGTGTGTGTGTTTGTGTGTGTTTATGTATTTAGGCATTTGCAATATTGGGTAAAGCCTGATAAGAAAGAGCAGCATCCACACATTGCCTGCAGAATTTGCTTACGTAAACGCCTATTAATATTATGCATGAGCAACATTGCAGTCTAATGCCTCGTAAATGTGACCCATGTGCAGCTATTGTTGTTGCTGCATAATGTTTGAGCGGATTTTGAAAGGCTATTAATAGGCACTTTAATAAATTAATCGCCGCCGATTATGAGCTTGTTGCAAAATCCAATAGATATTTAGTCGCTTGTGAGTCTATTTTAAAGACCATTCAGGCATTTCAAATCTGGTTTTTCGGAGTTAATCCATTGCTTTAATTGAAACCCAGCGGGCTTAAAGCGACATCCGTTGATGATAAAGCAGCCATATATATATGTATAAATATATATATATACATGTATATAAAATTTATGTAGGTGTTGAAGTTAAAAACACACACATGGGCAAAAAATAGCAAGCATGACAGCTCCAACCAATAATAACAATTATTAAAAGCAATGGAACTCAAATTGAAAATAATAAAGCCAACAACCATACCCATGCCATAATAATAAAATGCCAAACAACAGTGACCAAATCACACAAATTTCTGGTAACAAGTACTTTTAACACACCTGACATGTAAACAATTGAAAAGGTGGTTGCCTATTTAGGTAGTCTGTGGTCTGTTAATGCACAGGGCTAATGTGTATATAAAGCACTTGAAGATAATTCAATAACTTGATTTAGGTTCTGTCTGATTGTACTCGATTCTCGACCATTGTCCAGCAGCCAGTGGACAACCACACCACCCACACAATGTGAACATTGGGAATTGCTGAGAATCGCCGGAGAACACTCCGGGCGCTCGACAGCCGCCGGACA